CAGGGACACTAGGAATCAGGGCATTGAGTTTGAGTGAGTTTGAAGGCAGGTGGTGTGTGTGTGGAGGGCAGTCAGCTTTAGTGGGCCTATGGGTTATGGAAGGTGAGACTGAGCACCTGGGGGGGCGGGAGGCGTTGAGACTGCTCTGCAGAATGACAAGGCGACATCTTGCAGGTTCTATTAGACAAAGGAAAGCCGTTTCTAAACAGCTTTAACTGTTTAACTGTCCTTCGAATGAGGCAGTTTCCCGTGCTGTCTACCATTCTAAAAGGAGTCCCCTGGTGGCACGGTGAGGTAAGCGCCTCACCTCGAACCGCGAGTTCGGTGGTGCACACCAGCTGGAATCTGGAAGAAAGATGAGCGGTTTGCGCCCATATAAGTCTTGGAAATGCAGGGAGCAGTTGCACGCTGCCCTACAGTGTCGCTGTGAATGGGAATGGGCTCAATGATAAGAGTTTGCTTACTTTCAGAGTCACCTGGTCCTCATGTCAGTTCCTCTCCGAATGGGGGTGGCCCTCGCTCTGAACAGAGTTGGGGCCCTCCCAGATACAGAACAAACCCGCCACGTTCTTAGGTATAGTCCCCAAGACAAATGGTGTCAGAGCCCAGCTTCTCATTCAGCCCCACCTCCACTCCCCACCCCTCCCCTTCCCTGGGCATGCCTCACCGCCGGGAGACAATTTTGGCTGTCTCATCTGGGAAGGAGAGGGAGGATGCAAACTTCCTGCAGGAAATCCCTGCGCCACGAAGCATGCCCAAATGTCCACTGCTCAAGCTGAAGAGAGAAGTCAAACTTCAGGGTAACCCCTCCAGACCTCTTGCACCCCCTTTCCCAAAACCTTGCTCTCCCCACGGGTGAGCTCCTAGACACCAAGCGCTTTGAGTCTGCTTGGTTCATTGCTGGGCTAGAAACTGACCCATCGTCCCAGCACCAGAACAATGATGGACCCATCGTTGGCCACACAATAAATAATTGTGGACTAAATGGATTCCCTCCGTTCTGTGATTGTGCAAATTCTGTAAATTGTGTGATTCTGTACATCCGAATAGGGTTTTGCAGTGAAGCTCTTTCTTTAATGTTAATACACTTCCCCCTCCCCTCTATCCGACAAAAGACATCCCCCACCCCCACCCCCACCAACACACATTTATACTTTCAGGGGTTTACAGTGAGTGTTTACATCAACCTGTCTACTCCCCGGAGCCCACAATTATGGGAATGTAGGTTCAGAGGGTTCTGGCCTTGCCTCTGGGTGCCTTCGGGGAGTTATCTTGGATCTAAAGGAAGATCTATATTCCCCCTGGGAATAACGAGCAGGATAAATGATAAGTCAGCCATTCTGGAATGCCTGGCTGGGCTTCCATAAACATGAAGTATGAACATCGGTTTGCGGCATGCGAAGACTAAGGGAATGATGTACCATGCACACAGCCTGTCTGCACAGCGAGGAAGCTCTGCCCAAGCTTGCTCTGCATGGATCCCAGAGGGGAAACAACAAAGGGTGGGTTCTACTGAGCCACTTTCCCGCTATTCACTGCCAGCGAGTTGACCCTATCGGACAGGGTAGAACTGCCCCCTTTGAGACTATAACTGTTACAGGAGTAGAAAGCCCTGTCTTTCTCCTGAGAAGCGGCTGGTGGCTTCAAACTGCCGACCTTAGGAATCACAGCCCAACACATAACCACTACACCACCAGGGCTCCTGTTCCTGCTACAATCAGGGCTAATTTAATACCACAATGCTCCTTAGGAGGGGCCAAGGTATGAACCTGTGAGCAGTGTGCTGGTGCCATGCCCCCAGGAGAGGCTGGGTCCGTAAGGAAATGTCTCCTTGTACCAAGACCTGCTTCCTTCGGTCGCCAGACCCCCTTCAGTCACTTGTTACTTATGAGGTCCCAGGTAACCCACAAGATGTCCTTAAGTGTCATCAAGACAGTTCCGACTCATAGTAACCCGATGTACAACGGAACAAACCAAACCTGCACCAGCCGCATAATTTTCCTTATGTTTGAGCCCATTGTCGCGGCTGCTTTATCGATCCGGTTTGCCAAGGGCCTTCCTCTTTTCCGCTGCCTGACCCTTGACCAAGCATAATGCCCTTCTCCAGGGACTTCTCTTTCCCGATCACATGTCTAAAGGCTGTGAGATGTGTCTCGCCATGCTTGCCTCTAAGGAGCATCCTGGCTGTATCTCTTCCCCAGACACGACTGCCAACACTCTTCGCCAGCAGCATCGTTCAGATGCACTGATTCCATGGCGGGCTCCCTTATTCAAGGTCCAACTTTCACGTGCACATGGAGTGATGGAGAGTACCATGGCTGGGGCCAGGCGCCCTAAGTCCTCCAAGTCACAGCCTTGCTTTTCAACCCTTGCACGAGGTCTTGTGCAGCAGGGCATCCTTGGACCTCCTGACTGCTGCTTCCACAAGCACCGATGGTGGATGCAAGCCAGAGGAACTCCTTGGCCACTTCAACGAGACGGTGTGATGGGTCACGGAGCAATCATGACAGGTCTCCGTTAAGTGCTTGGGGTGTGGGTGATGTCATTGGAGAGAGTGCTGAGTTATTTGTGCGTGTGCAACTCAGCCGGTGAACTTGGCACTTCTCCACTCCAAGCCGGTCCTATAAGCAGCAGCCCGCCTGGCCCTCTTCCCAGGCTCCATGCTGTGTTCTTGTTGTCCCACCTGCTGCCACCCACTGACATCACGCAGCCCCCTCCGGAACATACAGAGCTGACCCGGAGTCTTGTGGGCGACCAGGCCTCCCCACCCAGACTGAGGTCACCGGAGTTGTTTACCCTTTGCTTCCCCGGGGTTGAATCTTTCCCTTCTACCCTACTGGGCCTGAGGATGCTGGCAGGGGCCAGCCAGGTTTGCATGGCCCTGCCACACTGGGTCCTTGACCTTAGAACCCATTCTGCTAACTGGGCCAGAGCCTTGGGAACTAGGGAAGTTGTCTGTAACCAGACCAAAAGCTCTGAGCATGGGAGCCAGGCCCCTTCCTTAGCAAACACAGGGTACCCCCTTGGCGAGGGAGTCCCCAATCTGAATGAGCAAAAGAGGCTGCATACTTAAGCCCAGGTTACAGTCACATCGAAGGTGTGGCTTCCCTGCGACAAGCACAGACAACCTGCTCGCCAGCAAACTGGCCTGGAGGATCTAATTCATGGAAAGGTGAGAGTGAGGGTCAGAAAGCATCACATGTACAGCTGCCCCTTTACTAAGGGAGCCCCAGTGACCCCCCTCCCCCCCATCACAGCAGCTTTGTGCTCGGAGGAGGGAAGTGTGTCCTCCCCTAGGGGTCCATTCATGGTCTAATGACCAAGCGGGGCCACCTCCCCTCCATGTAGACACCTTTCTTGACCATCTGACTGCCAGGGAGTGACAGGCGGGCTCCCCATCGTCACCTGCGGTATAATTTGGGCCCAACTGACCTGTCCTCTGGGACTGCTCTCTCTTCAGCAGGGAGTCCTTGCCTGGCTTGTCTGCAAACCGGAAGGTGGCTGGTTTGAATCCCTACAGAAGCGCCTCTGAAGAAAGGCCTGATGCTCTAGCTACACCCCAACATTCGCCATTGACAACCGTGCGGAGCCCAGTGCCAGTCTGACCCGGGAGGGGGTCACCCTGAGTGGGCATGAACTCAATGGCAGCTGGCCTGGTCTCTGCTTGTTCTCTTCAGTAGATACCGCTGGCGAGACGGCTCTCAACCACCTCCCCTCCGTCATTATCCCCAGAGGATAACCTCAGAGGGCTCCCAAGGCACTAATTACTTTAATTAGCATAAGCAGTCCCCTTCTGAGGTCAATCCAGGCTGCTGCAATCAGAGGCGTGGTAGGAGGGGAGCATGTCTGGAGGCCTTGTGGCTCGGTCCTCTTCCCTCTCATTTCCTCCCCAGAACACCCTCTCCCTAGAACAGTGGTTCTCAACCTTCCTAATGCCGCCACCCGTTAATAAGGTTCCTGACGTAGTTCGTTTATTGTGCCAACCTGGCCGAGAAACACACGTGGGATTCATTGAAGGGTGGAGAGCTAAATGGCTGGGTGAGCCTCACCTTTCTTGTCTCTTGCTCTTCGATCATCGGACCAGTGTGCGGCTGCCTAACTACGGGACACCTAACCCATGGACTGTGTCGCTGTAATTTGAGGTTCCTTCAAGACCTGCTTTGCCACACTATTAGAGTTTACATCTCGTGAGCTGGGGACTGTCGGACCCTGTCATCTGGCTGACTGTTGGTGATCTGCCTTGCTGTTTGCTGCCTGTGCCCGGATAGCCTGAATTGCTCTACAGAGGACTACCCGGCGGCCCTCAAGACTTGAAGGACTGTCAGTGTCTCACAACTGTCTCACGGGAGTGAGTTGTACTGAGCCATTTGTACTGCTTTATAATTTAATTAACTGTTTATTTCTTATGTTCTATATCTATCTGTATAAATATATATATAACTATTAACATTCTGGTTTTGTTTCTCTAGAGAACCCTGTCTAACACAGTTCCTCATGTTGTGGTGACACCCCCCCAACCATAAAATTATTTTCGTTGCTACTTCATGTAATTTTGCTACTGTGAAGGGGTCGAGACCCACAGGTTGAGAACCGCTGCCCTAAAAGGCCCCATCTGGGCGAGGAATTCCCAGGGCTTCCCAACCCTCTTTCTTCCCTGCTGGCTGCCACCTCCAGTCAGCCCTCTGCCATCACTCGGAGTCTCACAATTGGCGAGCTCTGGTCACCCAAGCAATCCAGGATTCTCTTTGCTCTAAACCCCGAAGTCTAAAAGTGCTTCGGACCCGTACCTTAACAAGGCAGTGCTGGTGACATTGGCGGGGACTCTGCCGGGCCAGTAAGCCAGAGCCGGGACCCGATGTCCTCCTTCCCACGTGGTCTGCTTGGCTGGGCTTCCCCCTGGGAAAGGAAGGTAGGCAGACGGTTGGTTCATGGGTGGTGATGATGAGGGACAGACACCCCTGGGAGGAGAGTTGCCTCCGTGAAGAGCCACTAACACTGAGGAAGGAATGACTTCTCTTCGTCAGCAGTTATTTTTACCCGGCTGGCTAAACTTTTCAGTACGACAATAACAGATTATTTTGTTTTGCTGGGCTGACCACATGGACACACGAGGTGTGCCTGCCATCAGTCTCCATGGAATCACATGACTCTATTTTCTCCACACTCTCTTCACCCCAAATGATCCCGTTGGTGGATTGACTCACTTCCTATGTGCTATCATGGAGTGTAGTGCTCATGCATTGCCCTGCTAGTGGCACAGTGGTTACACATTGGGCTGTTAACCGACAAGTCAGCAGTTTGAAACCACCAGCCGCTGCTCAGGACAAATAGGAGGCTTTCTACTCCTGTAAAGAGTTATAGTCTTGGAAATCCACTGAGGCAGTTCTACCCGGTCCTACAGGGTTGCTATGAGTCAGCACTGACTCAGTGTCAGAGAGAGAGAGAGAGAGATCACCACAGAGGAGCCTTGGTGGCATGGTGGGTTACATGTCAGGCTGCTGACTTCGAGGCTGGTAGTTCGAAACCACCAGCCCCTCCTCAGGAGACAGGCGAAGTTCTCTACTCCCGTCCAGAGTTCATGGTCTCAGGAACCCACAGCAGCAGTCCTACCTTGCCCTACGGGGTCTCTATGAGTCTGGATCAACTTGATGGCAGGGAGGTGTTTTGTCTTGGTTTGGGTTTAAACAGAGGCTGTTGAACACACAAAGTTGTATTCCTCTTCTAATCCTCGTGTTTGGGGTGAAAGGGAAAAAATCCCATCATGTTTGAAAAGGAGGAACTGAGGGACTTCCCCCCACGCTGCCCGTGCCCAGCGACTCTCCGGTCATCGCTGTCTGGTTCTGTGCGTGCCCCGTTGCTCGGCTTGTCTTTACACAATAGTGCTGCGGAGCCAGTCTTGGCATCGGCCTCTTCAGTGGCACGAACCCAGCTGCCCTCTTCGAATGTCCACCATGGCAGTGAAGGATGTCTTTTTGTCAGTCAAAAGGGACCACCCGTCACCAGTCTGGATGGCCAGCAGGCTGGAAAGGATGAGGTCATGCTTTATAGAAACATGCTGAATACATGTCGCACCGAATTAACCATGACCACCCCGCCACACACACCCCACCCTCGTGGTGGCTGAGCCAGAAGCCAAGGATCCCACTGTTTGCATGTCACAAGCCGGCCCCAGGCTAACGCTGTCTGCGCCTCACACGGAGCGCAGCCAGGGTGCTTCCCGGGGTGTGGCCCGGGGAGGAAGCGAAGCAGTTCTGTAGAGGGGCTTGGAGAACAAGAGCAAGGCGCTGCCTGGTTGTCCTCAACGCTGCCGCACACGGAACCTCTGATGTCCTTTCGGAAACACAGCGCTCTCACGACTTCCAAGTCACCAGCTCTAGGGCCCCTCTCAGTGTTGAAGTACAAACGGACCCCAAAGCTCCAGTTCGATGGCCGGTTTGCGAGCCTGGTGGCACCGTGGGTAAGGCCCCCCCGAGTCTGTTTTCCCGCAGGGTCGCTGGGTCATGATCGAATCAGCGATGGCAGTGGTGACAGAGGGGTTGGTGGCCTGTGTCCATTTAAGGGTGTGGAGCTGGAGAAACCAGCCGGGGTTTGGGGGAAGCCCAGGGAAGCGCTTTGTTCTGGGCTGCCAGCCACGACATGGCCACCAGCATCTCTCAAGTCCACTCCCAACTGTTCACGCAGGTCCGCCAGCACGAGATGCAGCTCCACCTGGCCTGGAGTGCGTGGCTTTGGCTTTGGCTTAAGGCCAAAGGGCAGAGAGGGCACATCCGCATGCAGAGGGCGCTGCCCGTGGCTGGAGGGCAACACAGAGCCTGTTTACTCGCATGTCCCTGCTGGACAGACTCCAGACAGGCTTGCTTAACCTTTGAGGCCAGATGCTAAGGATGGGGCAGGCGGCCGTTCAAAGGAAAAGCCATCCCCGCGGAAGGTCGGCCTCTGCGCCGGCTGCGTGTGGTCACAGACATACCGGGTCTGGCCTCGGCCCACAGGGTGTTTCCAGAGGGTAAAGCTGAAAGCCGGAACTCACTGCCAGCAAGCTCGTTCTGACTCATGGGGACCCTGCGTGTGCTCCGGAGGGCTGTCAACGCCGTGACCTTTCAGAAGTTGCTCTTTCTTTCCAGATACCTCCGAGTGGGTTCAAACTGCCAACCCTCTTGGTGATAGCAGTCCAACTCTAACCTGTCTGCACCAGCCTGGGGCTCCTCCAGAAGCCTACGGGGGCCGTTCGATGTCAGGTCAACTTGAATGTAAGTAGGTAGAATCCAACCTGCCAATCAGGTTGCCATGGCCTGCTGATACCTCCTTGCAAGGTATGGCCTTTTTATAAGGAAGAAACTGGGGCTCCTCCTCTCTTCTCTCTCTTGCCTTTCACCTGCACCTTGCTGGGACTCGGTGCTTGCCTCAGTGGTGGCCCCATGGCCGCCTGACCCCGAGGGCTGTCCACACGGTCATGTTTCCACCCACCTTGGATCCACAGGACTGTGCACCCACTGGACTTGGCTCTCTCTGCATCTGCGTCACCTTGTCTGTCTGACCAGCCTGCAGGGACTTTCATCTGAAGCGGGGCCCTGCTAGCATGGGACCCGTGGACTGGAGTTGTACTGTAGGATGCCTTCTGGATATAAAGTCCTTTCTTGTGCACAGAAGAACGCCACGGGCTCTTTCCTCTAGACAACCGGCTACCACCGGTCACCAAACCAGCCCCTGCACCATGGGGTCCATCCTGACTGCCGGCGACCCTAGGTAGGGTTTGCGAGACTGTGAAGCTTTCTGCCAGCAGACGTGTTTCTCCTGAGGAGCAGCCAGTTCTTGAATGTTCCCCACCCCCACCCCCCACTATCATGATCCCAATTCTGCCTTACAAATCCTGCTGGACCAGAGCATGCACATGGGTACAGATAAGAGCTGGAAACACAGGGAATCAAGTACAGATAAACTCCTCAGGACCAACAAGGAGAGTAGCAATACCAGGAGGGGAAGGTAGGGGTGGGGGGAAGTGGGAACAGATCACAATTATCTATATATAATCCCCTCTGTGGGAGGCAGACAACAGAAAAGTGGGTGAAGGGAGACATTGGTCAGTGTAAGACATGAAAAAATGTTTTATAAATTATCAAAGGTACATGGGGAGGGGGCGGAATGAGGAGCTGGTACCAAGGGCTCAAGTAGAAAGAAAATATTTTGAAAATGATGATGGCAACCTATGTACAAATGTGCTTGACACAATGGATGGATAGATGGATTGTGATAAGAGCTGTATGAGCCCCTAATAAAGTAATTTTTAAAAAGAGAGACTGGTGGAGAGAAGCCCCCACCGTGCCCCCTGAAGGGGCAACCCCTCTGGGTTTGAACTATACAGTTCACTACTGGGCGTCTCTGGCACTCTGGTTTTAACAGAAAAAATACCCATTCCAGACCCACAAGCGATCCCAGCCCCACAGGCCTCGTGTTCTGCAGGAATGTATCTTACAGGAGTCCCATTTTGGACCAGCAAATGTTTTTTTAATGTGGCACCAACAGGGATGCCATCCTTCTCCAAATCCCAGTGGCTCCCTGGCAGGGCCTGGGTTAGGCAAAACTTAAAAGGTTCTGAATTAGCCTTACTGATGGGCTCCCCGGGTTATCAGGCTGCCTGTGTCTGTATCAGCAGGGCCTGTGGTGCACCTGAGCCAGGTGACCCCCAGGAAAGCTTTCCCCCAGGCCCGGGTCTCATCCCTGATCCTGCTGCTAATCAGGGAACCTCAGTCCAAGTTCACGATTGGAGTAACAGTGACAATCGAATGGAAGCACCGAGTGGCTGGAGGCTGTGGTGCTTCCACTTGGGGACCCCAGGGTCTGTTCCTGGCCAGTCATGCCACCGATGTGCCGGGGGAGCGGGCTTTCATGTAACTGTGAGAGTACACAGTTCCAGCGGAGCTTCCTAAGATGGACTAGGAAGACAGGCCTGGCAAACCACTCCACCAAAACTGGCCAGTGAAAATTCTGTGCTCACCATGTGGTTTGAGCCTGTTGGGTGTTGGGGCAGACCTGATAGCAGCTAGCAACATAGCAAAGCAGCAGTCTAAGAGGTGGCTAGAGAGTTAAGCATTGGGCTGCTACCCACAATGTTGGCAGTTCTAACCCATCCATCGCCCCTAGGAAGACAGATGAGATATTACCACCAGTCTTAGAGAGCCCCGAGAAGCAATTCTACTCTGTCCTTGAGGGTCCCCACAGGGCCGCTGGATCGGAATCAACTCCATGCAATGGTTGGCGTGAGTGCCTCTCCTCAAGCCCTCTTGATAACCAGGTGAACGCGGCACTGTGTTCCCCATTGTTCGGTTAGAGAAACCGGAGCTCAGACCGGTTAAGTAATTTGCCCAAAGTCACACGGAGAGCAAATGGTAGCATCAGGATTTGAATCCAGGTCCAACCACACAGCCAGCACACCACCCAATAGGTTCTTCGACTTCCCCAAGGTGCACACGGTGAAATGGAGAAATCCTTTAGGATGGCAATTCCCAGGCCACAATGCTCGTTAGAATCACTACCTAATTCATTGCCATCGAGTCGAATCTGACTCGTGACGACCTCATAGGACAGGGCAGGACTTCCCCGTGGGTTTCCAAGACTGTAACCCTTTATGGGAGAAAGCCCGTGGAGCCGCCTGGTGGTTTCAAACTGCAGATCTTGAGGATCGTAGACACCAGGGCCCCTTTCAAATCTCTAGGGCAGCTTTTTACAGGATGTCCAGGCCAAGGCCTCTGCTCAGAGACGGGGTTCCAGTAGCTTCAAGGGCAGTCTGGACCGCTCTGCCTGTGTAATGTGGAGAGCCCTGCAGGGGACAGAGGCTGAGGGGCAGGCGGGGAGGTGGGCCAGCTGCATGTGTCGCCATGTTCTAAAGTCTTCAGAAGAAT